AACAAGAGCAAAGGCAGAGTCCTGCACCTGGGAAGGAACAACAAAATGCACCAGTACAGGTTAGCAGTTGATCTGCTGGAGAGCAGCTCTGTGGAGAAGGACCTTGGGAGTCCTGGTAGACAACAAGTTAACCATGGGACAACAATGTGCCCTTGTGGCCAAGAAGGCCAATGGTACCTTGGGGTACATTAAGTGGAGTGTCTCCAGCAGTTCGAGGGAGGTTCTCCTCCCCCTCTACTTGGCCATGGTGAGACCTCACTTGGAGTCTTGTGTCCAGTTCTGGGCTCCCCAGTTCAAGAGGGACAGGGATCTACTTGAGAGAGTCCAACTGAGGGCTACAAGGATGATTAAGGGACTGAAACACCTGCCTTACGAGGAAAGGCTGAGAGACCTGAGGCTTTTCTGTCTAAAGAGGAGACTGAGGGGGGATTAATTAATGTCTATCAATAGATGAGGGCTGGGCATCAAGAGGACAGGGAGAAGCTCTTTTCACTTGTGCCCTGTGATAGGACGAGGGGCAATGGATTCAAACTCGAGCACAGGAAGTTCCACCTCAACATGAGGAGGAATTTCTTTGCTGTGAGGGTTACAGAGCACTGGAACAAGCTTCCCAGAGAGGTTGTGGAGACTCCTTCTCTGGAGACTTTCAGGACCTGTCTGGATGCCTTTCTGAGTGATCTTGCCCTAGTTGGTGTTTTGGGTTTTTTTGGTCTTGCTCTGGAAGGGGAGTTGGACTCAATGATCTTTGGAGGTCCCTTCCAACCCCTAATATTCTGTGATCCTGTAATAACACACCACCTCTAAGTTAATAGGCAAATGATTAATCTAATAACCCTATGCTGTATGCTCATGCCAGTTGCATATTGCACTAGAACAGAATATTTCAGTGGAGGAGGACTTAAGATTGCTTATGGAAGTTCACCCTACCCAGCTTTTCATGAAATATATTCTGCAGTTAAGTCATAAGCGTTTGGGATTTGTCATAATATATGTATACAAGTATGTTTTAGTGAAGATACTTTGTTTCATCAAAACACTTTGGGTTGGAGGGGACTTTTAAAGGTCATCTAGTCCAACCCCCCTGCAGCATGCAGGGACCTCTTTAATTAGATCAGGTTGTTCAGAGCCTGATTAAGTCTGACCTTGGATGTCTTCAGGGATGGGGCCTCCACCATGTCTGCGGGCATCCTGTTCCAGTGTTTCGCCACCCTCATAGTAAATAACTTCTTCCTAATGGCTGATCTAAATCTACCCCGCCACCTTCATCTTGTGCTCCTTCTCTGGTACAGGAAATGAGAAGACACAAACTGTAGTTTGTGTCAGCATCGGAAAGAGAAGGAGCTTCCTAATGGCTGATCTAAATCTACCCCGCCACCTTCATCTTGTGCTCCTTCTCTGGTACAGGAAATGAGAAGACACAAACTGTAGTTTGTGTCAGCATCGGAAAGAGAAGGCTCTGGGGAAACCTTCCAGCAGCCTTCCAGTACCCAAAGGAGGCTACAGAAAAGCTGGAATGGGTTGCCCAGAGGAGTTTTGGATGTTCCCTCTCTGGAAATGTTCAAGGACAGGTTGAATGGGGCTCTCAGCAACTTGGTCTGGTGGGGGGTGTCCCTGCCCATGGCAGGGGTGTTGGAACTAGATGATCTTTAAGGTCCATTCCAATCCAAATCATTCTATGATCCTATGAAATTACTAGCTTTGAAGAAGTCAGTGAAGAAGGCCTGTGATTCTCTAGCTTCCCTGAAAGTTACAAGTACCAATGTGTTCTGAAGTTGGAGACTGAAAAAGCTAGCTGAGAGCAGTAATTGTTGTCACCCATACGTTCTTTTTCAGTGTTGTAGGTAACTGCTGATAAGTAGTCAATGTCTGATGCTGACAGCTATTCAGAACAAATGTTAGGTTCAAGTTTGTGTCATGGAAAGGATCCAAAGATCATAATTAAGACCCAGTACAAGGAAATAGTGACCAAGAAAGAGCATTTGCTGATCTTATTTCACTGCCAAACCAATTTGAGTATTGCCAGAAGATTTTTTCTTTGCTTTTCCCATTTTCTGTCAGGATTGTAGTGAAATCACATAGGACCACATAACTGGTCTCAGAAAACAATCTCTTACTTCTCACTGAGTTACTCCTTTCTGCCTGACTTCAGCGGAGAGTCTTTACTAGATTGGGTAGGAGAGTACCTTGGAGCTCTCAGTATTGCAATCAATTGCAGTCTAACTTGGCCAGCTTGGACATGGTGACGTTTTTTCTTCTCATAAAAACTGGTTATGAAATAGTGCAGCGATAAGGGAAGATACAGTCTGTCTTTGACATCAGTAGTTAGAAATCCTGAACTGTGAAATCAGACTGAGGACAAAAAAACAACTCCTGTTTTCTTTCTTCTGGTCTTCTGCTTTTCTTATTCAAACTTTACTACTTCTCGATCTACAATCCTAACCAAAGGGCAGCTGTGCAGGCTAAATGGAACTTGGGAACATCTCGTTTTAGCTCACAATTTGGTATCTATTTCCTACTCTGTTATTAGGAAATAATTTTTGTAATATGAAAGAGTAATACTATTCCTTTTTGAACTTGTGCAAAAATGGAGGAAAGGTCTGAAAATGCTATGAGCAAGATAGATGGTTGCCAGCGCTTCCAGGTGCTGAGCCTATTGATGTGAACATAGTCTTTTTGCTAATATTCTTTGTTCCTGCCATCTGTGATAGTTGTGGTATTTCTAAAGACTTGCTCCTTTGATCATAGAATTAGATTGGCAGAGACCTCTGCAAGTCCTCTGATCCAACCTCC